AAAAAAAAATCAGAATTTCCTGAATTTTTGTATAAGCTTCAAGAAGAGGAGGAGGAGGAGGAGGCTGGATTTATACCCCGCCCTTCACTACCTGAAGGAGTCTCACAGTGGCTTACAATCCCTTTCCCTTCCCCTCCCCGCAACAGACACCCTGTGAGGTAGGCGGGGCTGAGAGAGCTCTTTCGAGGACTGCTCCCGAGAGAACAGCTCTGAGAGAACTTGTGACTGACCCAAGGTCACACCAGCAGCTGCCTGTGGAGGAGTGGGGAATCAAACCCGGTTCTCCCCGATTAGAGTCCGCGCTCCTCACCACGACACCGAACTGGCTTGTCTAGAGTCAGGTTTTGATCTGGGATTTGGGCTAGGTTCTGAATAGCAGTCTTTGAGCAGCGGCAGGACAGACGAACCCTTGTCAGGGATGCTCTAGGCTGATCCTCCGTTGAGCAGGGGCTGGACTGGATGGCCCCTTCCAACACTATGATTCTGCGAATCTGAACCCCGGAAATGTTAAATCACAGCAGCCGTTCTTTGAAACCCAACTCTGAAACGTGTGTTGCTTGAAGTACGTACCTGATGTGCCGACAGGGCTATTTTTGGGCAGGAACGCACAGGAGCGGAGTTCCGGCTGGCTCCCAAGTTGGCCACGCCCAACAGGAACTCATTCGCCATAATAGCCCACACCCAACAGCAGAAACTCATTAGGATTGGCTACATTAGGGGTGTGTGGCCTAACATGCAAAGGAGTCCCTGCTACAAAAAAAGCCCTGGGTTTTGACAACAAACAAGGTAAACGGAATAAGAAGCAAAAGGCGGGTGTGGCTGGATGAGCACACTTCTGGTAACATGGGGGGTGTGACCTAATGAGTTTCTGCTGCTGGGTGTGGCCTATTATGCTAATGAGTTCCTGCTGCGCTTCTTCTACAAAAAAAGCCCTGTGTGCCGATATTAAGTGTTTACAACGTACCATTTTGCGCTCTCACGTGAACACGCACGAAGCTGCCTTCTACTGAGTCCGTGTTGTCTACTCAGACTGGTAGCCGCTCTCCAGGGTCTCAGGCAGAGAAAGGTCTTCCACATCACCTCCTGTCTGATCCTTTGAACTGGAGGTGCTAGGGATCGAACCTGGGACCTTCTGCATACGGAGCAGATGCTCTAGCGTGGCCCCACCAGGTTGCCTTTTTAATTTGTTTCTGCCCTCTTCTCCTCATACAGCAAGCTTCCCAGCTGGGCGCGGGCAGTGACGCCGCGGATATTCTACATCACCGAGAAGGCCTGGAATTATTACCCGTATACGATCACAGGTAAGCCCTGGCGCAACCCCGGGATCAGGCATTACCCTCTTGTCCTAAAAGAAAGACCCTGCTGGATCGGACCAAAGGTCCGTGGCATCCAGTAGCCTGTCTCCCAACAGTGGGGGGGCCTCCAAGAAGTCTTGAAGCAGGGAAGGAAGGCCCCAGAGAGATCCGTCTGTCCTCGACCAGGGCCTTTTCAGCCCTGGCCCCGACCTGGTAGAACTCTTGGCCAAACAACTTCAGGGCCCTGCGGGATCTGATGCAGGCAAGGCAGAGAGGTTGCGTCAGGCATTCGGTTGAGGACAGCGACAGTTAAACATCATGGCCGGCACCCTACTTTTCACCACTTGTTTTAATTACTGTATGGTTGGTTTTATGGTTTCATGTTTTTAGACCTCTGTACATCACCCGTAAAAGGGTTGCAGTGGCTCAGTGGTTAAGATGCTGAACTGCAGTCCGGAAGTTCGGCAGTTCGAGACCCGAGTGCCGCATGACGGAGTGAGCTCCCGCCTCTGGCCCCAGCTCCTGCCAACCTAGCAGTTCGAAAGCAAGAAATTGCAAGTAGATAAATAGGTACCGCTTCGGTGGGAAGGTAACAGCGTTCCGTGCGCCTCGGCATTTAGTCATGCCGGCCACATGACCACGGAAACGTCTTCGGACAGCGCCGGCCCTTCGGCTCGGAAACGGAGATGAGCACCGCACCCCTAGAGTCGGATTCGACTGGCTTTCGAGCACACCTTTACCTCTACATCGCCTAGAGCCCCACAACTGTGGGGATAGGCGATTAATAAACAAAATAAATAAATAAAATAACAGATTTCATGTTTTCAAACTGTGAGTGTAAACTTAGCAACTGTGAATCCTGTAAATCGGTCTTTGACGCACACCACCCCTATTTTACAGGGGAGGGCGGTTTAGAAATCCGCCTTAATAAATAAATAACGTTTGGTGCTGGTATCGGACAGATAGCAGGAAATCCATTGGCATCCCTCGTGGTGCCTGCTTTCCGGTCTCACCTCTCTCCCTGTCTTTCTCCTCTTCGCTGTCCCTGCGGATTCCTGGAATCGCCTCGGTGCCGACTCAGAGTACACGGTAAGTAGCCCGATGCGTTTGCCCGTTCGGGTGCTCCTCCATTCCCCCCACCCCGGAGAAGCCCCCCCCTGAGCAGCAGAGGGTGCCAGGAGATTTCCTCTTGGGGAGATGGAGAGGCCGAGTCCTAGGAGAGTATTGTCGGTCAGCATTTCATAACCTTTAAACCATCCAGCGTTATAGCTCTCGGCCTAGTTCCCCTCTCCAAGCCGTCTAAATTAGTTGCCATGACTACCTCCCGTGGGCTATGACGGCCTCCCCCCCCCGCGGGTTGATTTAGCTAATTGCAGTGCCAAGGTTCTTCCTTTGTCAGTCTTGAATCTACCCGCCTGTCAACTTCATGAAGTTCTAGTCATTTGGGATGAAATGTTAGCAAATGAGTGGCACGGAGGCAAAGGTCCCAGCGGACGACGGGGCGGGCAGAGTTTTGTACGGCCTGCGGCTGAGAGTCTGACACAGTCGAGGCATGCGGTCTGCAATCAATTGTGTCATCTCTCCTTGTTCTCCACTTCCTGGATTTTTTATTTTTTTTTATCCTCTTATGAAATTTTACGAGTGGTTCCATCTGAGAAACAGAAAACAGCGTTGACGTCAGCTCGAAAGCGTCTACTTTCATTAAAACCGTGCAACCTTTGCCCACTTGGCCGGGGCCGAGGTACCTCTCGTCCCGACCCCCCTCCTCCTCCTTTTTCTGATTTACAAATAAAAATGTTTTTTAGGGATTTTTCGGCTTGGTGTCACGGCACCCGTTGGGTTTAGATCACACCGGATTGTTCCCAGATGGTCTTCTTGGACAGCGCTTTATGATCCCCGCAACCCCCCCCTCCCCATCTCCGCCCTTTGAGCAAACAGCGTCAACGGATTGGGGGGTTTTATAGGAAACTCTGACAAATAAAGGCTCAGATATTTTTACTACGCCCCGCCCGCTCGCACATACCAACGCAAGCAAGTCACTGTGAAAGAGTTGTGGAAAGTTTTGCGAGATCCAGCGCTGCTTCCATTTTGGATCATTCAAATGTTGTGAGTCTGCCCCTTTGCGAAACTTCTGCGCAGTGTTGTGGCTCCGAGTGTTGCACTAGGCCTGGGGAGGCCTGGGTTCGAATGCTGGCTTTCCAGGCATCTCATTGGTGACCTTGGGCCAGTCTTCCTCTCTGAGCCCGAGACATACTTGAAAGCCAGAGAGATGGTTGGACCAAGGTTTCCAGAGGTATCTTGCATGAACATAAGACGAGCCCTGCTGGGTCAGACCTGTGGCCCATCTAGTCCAGCATCCTGTCTCATACACTGGCCAACCTGTCCCTCTGGAGGTCCAGCAACAGGGCATAGGGGCTATGGACTTCTCCTGAAATTGGCACTGGGATTCAGGACACTGTTAAGTACGAGACTCAACACAGCTAGTGAACAGTGAATCAGCTTTATTAACAAAGTCAGAAGAAATCAGAACGAGATGAAAACATAGAGCAACAGGCTCTCTTTTAAACAGACCGGGCTTGGGAGGCCACGCCCACGTGTCAGCTAACAACCAATAACTATTTACAGATGAGGTCCAATCAGAGTGCTTCCCAGCAGAACATTGCACAGCTCTGATTGGTCTATTTACAATCCTGTTTCAGACTCAAGCTTTACATAGTTTTCAATACATAACGGACACCTAGACTGAAGTCCAGTACCAATGTTCCCTCTAAGCTGTGGAGTCTTGTGAGCAAAAATCCTACTTTCTGAGCTACTGGCATGAAAGTTGTGAGCAAGTGATTTGGCTACTGTATAAATTAGACTGCTCTGGAGCCATCCCTCCTGAGCTAAGACAAAAATGTGTGAGCCGGAGGCTAAAAAAGCTGTGAGCCGGCTCACACTAACTCAGCTTAGAGGGAACACTGGTAGGACCTTGGGAGACCAACAAGGTTTACAGGTTATAAGCTTTTGTTGGATATTTAGCAGACCAAATGAAGCGCAGTGGAATAATGCACCAGAGACGTGTGTGTTTAGCTTCCTAGAAAAAGTTTGCTACATAATTAGGGAACGGTTCCATGGGATCAAAACAACAATGGTCTAACAAACTCACCTTTCCAGCGCTGATCTTACTCCATCTCGTTTCTTGGTTCCTCCCTCCCTCCCTCTTCTCCTAAGAAAGGAATGAAAATTTCCCCTCAAAGCTCCACCCCTTGCGTATGTGCAGAATAGCGTGAACTATCTCCAATATATCGATTAGCCAATAGTCAATCTAGGGTTCTCATTCCCCCGGTGGGGCCAGGGGATCCCCCGATTTTGGGGGCCCCAATCTGCTGCGGCCCAGATGGCTGGCTGAGAAGCCCCCTCCCAGCGCCGCTGGCATGATGACATCACCCGGAAGTGACATCATCGTGCTTCTGACGTTGGGGACAGTGTTGTAGATTTTGGTGACCTCACCCAGAGGTGACGTCATCGCACAGGGCATGTTGCAGGAGGGCACTCTATCGTACGAGGAAAAAAACTCTATGGTTACCATATAGCTTTTCCTCATGTGCCCTGCATGATGATGTCACTTCCAGAGAGAGTGAGGGGCCCCCCCCCCCGGCAGCCAGGTAGGACCCGGCAAACCTAAGTCAATCTTAGGGTCACCTTATTAAGAATAAGACCCCCCCCTTTTGGTGGGACGATCCTACTTGTCACCTTATCGGTTCTATGCTAAACTTGCTCATATCAGCTCACAGAAGCTTCAGCTTAACCCTTTCACGACTGAAAGGATAACACTCACAAACCCCAACAGCTTTGGAGAGTCAAGGACAAATGGAGCTTTTGGTTCTCAAAAACGTACACCCCATAAATCTTGTTGGTCTCTAAGGGTCCCCCTGGGCTCAAATCTAGCTGTTCCAATCAGTATCCAAGTGCGGAAAGCGATTTCAGTCAGAGTGGCAGTCTTCAAGTACACCGAAGAACCCACACAGGGGAGAAACCTTTTGAATGCTCAGAGTGTGGAGAGAGATTCAGTACCTGTAGCCATCTGCAGACACATCGAAGAACCCACACGGGAGAAACCTTTTGAATGCTCAGTGTGGAGAGAGATTCAGTACTTTTGGCCCAGTTTACATTGCCGGTCACAGAACTGGAGTTTTCTTGGCGAGGAATCGGGGTTTCACCCAGGGCTGAATGTCATCCGTATATATGTTTTGGCTCAGAATATTCACAGAGCTGCGGATAGGGTCGAACCCATGCATAGACACCCACAGGAGACTCTGGAGGGGCTGCTAACCTCCATTCCTCTTATCAGGGTGTCAAACATAAGGAGTGGGGGCCGGAACCGGCCCATCCAGGGCTCTTATCTGGCCTGCAAGCGACTGGTGCGAGGGAGGGAAGGCAGGAAACTGTTCGGGGGCGTGCAGATGCACACAATGAAGTGTGTGTGGTCAGAGCTGTCAAAACCTGAAAGGGAATGGCTGGGGGCGGAGCTTGTATCTCCGGTACCTGGCGTTACATTTTCTGGCAGACGTGGCCCGGCCCGACAAAGTAACGTTTATGTCAGATCCGGCCCTCGTCACAAATGAGTTTGACACCTCTGCCTCATTGTCTGTCGCTTAGGAACATTCTCTCTTTTTCTCTGCAGTGTTCCTTTCTGCCCAAGTTTTCCATCTACATAGAAACCAAATATGAGGATAATTGCGGAGACAATGCCAACGTAAGTCGGGTCCAAGGGTGTGGTGGAGCGGATGCCCTTCCCCGGCCTCGAAACCCCTCGGTCCTCTGGTTCAACAGCCTCTGAACGGGCACAATAGGAGCGACCTAGAATTTCATTTCTTTATTTAAAATATCTGTTAGCCACCTTTTCCCCGTATGGAGCTCAAGGCGGCTAACGATGTGGATGAAATGCATTTCAATCCCTCTCCCCCCCCCATTTAAAAACAGCAATTTAGGACTGGTAGAAAATTAGAATCATAGAGTTGGAAGGGATCTCCAGGGTCATCTAGTCCAACCCCCTGCACAATGCAGGGAATTCACAAATAGCTCCCCCCCACACCCCCAATGACCCCTGTTCCACGCCCAGTAGATGACAAAAAAACCCTCCAGGATCTCCAGCCAAACTGGCCTGGAGAAAAATGGCTTCCTGACCCCAAAGTGGCGATCGGCATTTCCCTGGGGGTGTAAGAAAGGGCCACGAGAACTAAGCACTGAGGCAACCCTCCCTGCCCTCCCTCTCACGATCTGCCTAAATTCACAGAATCAGTATGGCTGTCAGATGGCCATCTAGCCTCTGCTTCAAAACCTCCAAAGGAGGAGAGCCCACCACCTCCCGAGGAAGCCTGCTCCACTCAGGAACCGCTCTTTACCGCTCTTAACTGTCAGGAAGCTCTTCCCAATGTTTAGCCAAAAACTCTTCTGATTTAATTTCAACCTGTTGGTTCTGATCCAACCTTCTGGGGCAACAGAAAACAACTCCGCCCCATCCTCTATAGGACAGCTCTTCCAAGTACTTGAAGACAGCTATCATATCACCTCTCAGTCGTCTCCTCTCCAGGCTAAACATACCTGGCTCCTTCAACCTCTCCTCATAGGACTTGGCCCTACGAGGTTAATTAAACAGGGCTTTAAATAAAACCGTGTTCAGCTGCCTCCCAAAGATTGAAAGTATGGGGTGGGGGTCGGGCACACCTCCCTGGGGCGCTTGTTCCAGAATCGAGGGGCTACCACCGAAAAGGCCCCGTTTCCTGTACCCACCCAACGCTCTTCTTTGATTGGTGGGACAGTCAGGAAAGCCCTCTGTGTGACCTTAATTCCCGGGCAGGAACGCATGGGAGAAGAGAGTCCTTCAGACACCCTAGTCCCATGCCCCGTGGTGGCTTCAAAGGACGGAACCCCACACCTTGAATTGGGCTGGGGAGTGGATCAGTAGGTAGTGTAATTGCTGTCGTATTGGGGGTCGCATGATGGCATTTGTCTTGGAGACTGGTGGTGAAACCGATCCAGTTGCCTTTGCTACCCACAGTCAGCCAGAGCATGTGATCGCTTGACCAGGCCTCCTAGCCTTACTGTTTTTGTCCCCGCCCCCTCCTCTCTCTCTCTCTTCCCATCCAGATCTTCCACAGTGACAAAATCTTGGGGGACCACGAAGTGATGTTTCTGGACATTGCGTTTGACGAAATCCCGGAGCGCTACTACCGGAGCCCCGAGGTAACAGCCTGCAGCAGTGTAAGGGGTGACCTCTCTGCCCAGGTGTCTCTCCACAGCTCACCTGTGTGGACGTTGGCTCCATTGTGCCATTTTGCCATCTTTCTTTGGCTCTTGTTTGTGGGATGGAGCATCGGACTCCCACCTACCCTCTGCAAGCAGCACTTAGCATACCATGTACCCTGAAAGATCTGCTAGAGCAGCATGAGAAATAATTCAAAGGCTTTTGCGAGCCCAAAGCACCCATCTGCAGAGAAGCCTCCCCACTGTGCCTCTGGATGAGTCCCTGTTCTGTCATGGTCTCTTTCCAAACAGCCTCAGTCATCCCCCCCCCCATCTCTGTAATGGGTGTGATTCCGCGCATTCAGTTGATCCCATTATGCAGACACAGCAGAACTGTCGGGATGCCTGTTGCGTCTCTGTATGTCAGTGCTCTAGGTTTGCCTTCTTCTAACCAAGGTGCATATCGTATCCGAAAAAGTGCAGAAACATAGAAGGGTGAGCTGTTTTGGGGAGAAGTAGTTTTTTAAAAGCGATAAAATACGTCTTTCAGACGGAAGCAAAACATGCCTCCAGACGTTAAGTTGGGGGAGGGAAAAGTGGAGGTTCTCCTATTGGACGTTTGGTCCTGTCTGCCATAGAGTTTAGGATACAGCGTCACAAGGAATGAACGTGCCCGATGCCAAAAGAGAAACCCAAGAAACTCTACTTAGAGAACTTTCTGTAAATTTAGGGTTGCATTTTGTGTAAATGAACCACTGGGCCCGATTTAGATTCTTAGATCTGTTTGCAGAGAAAGAACGAGGAATGCTCCCTCTCCGACGGGAAGCGGCTTGTTTGTGGTGCGTCTGGAAGATGAGCCTGGGCTTATTTTTCCCCCAAGGATATTTTGTGGTTTGCAGCCTCCGGCACTACAATCCATTTTCCTGTTTTTGCTCGGGGGGCAGGATCTCCGCTTCTTCAGCTCAACGAAGACAGGCCGCGGTCCACTGAGCTCTGCCCACAACCTGCTGTGATGCAATCACAAATTCTGTTATCGCCTCAGTTTATGCGATGTGTGGGTCGTGGCTTCACAAAACTACAATTCCCAGGATCCCTTGAGGAAAGCAGTGACTATCCGGGCCTGTTGTTTTCCGTTAAGAACTGAGGTGTAGAAATGGCCAAAACACCTGCAAGCGAGCCTAGTTCCCTTCTTGACCTCAAGAGGGCGCTCGTAGACCAAAGTATTTTTCCCCCAAGGATATTTTGTGGTTTGCAGCCTCCGGCACTACAATCCGTTTTCCTGTTTTTGCTCGGGGGCAGGATCTCCGCTTCTTCAGCTCAACGAAGACGGGCCGCGGTCCACTGAGGGAGGGCTGGCGGGAACAAACCCAGCCCATCATGTGCTCCTACAAGCTGGTGACAGTCAAGTTCGAGGTGTGGGGGCTGCAGACACGGGTGGAGCAGTTTGTCCACAAGGTGAGATGCTTGGAAGCTCGTTGTCCCCTGGTTTTTAAGAGCTCGGCATTTGGAAGGGCACCTGCTGCTGCTGTGCATATCGCAGAAGCCCGTGTGTGAACTGCAGTAGCAGAAGTGCTCAGCTCTCATTGGCTAGCACCTGTGAGGCCAACTTTGACCAAACAAAACTGTTTGTTTTTCCCAGGCCAGTTTTGACAGGCCGTAGATGTCCACGGTTAACATCTGTAACATTTTAGCCATTCTAAGCCTGCAGGCATTTTCGAAACCTAGTTTACATGCGGAGGGGACCAAGTCCAAAACCTTAAAAAGATCACCCATTGAGTCTTTTTTGGGGGGATAACTGAATGTATAGTCCTTAAAAGCTGTTCTACGCATGAAGGAGGTGGTCTGTAGAAGAAGAGGAGAAAAAGAATTGGTTTTATACCCCGCTCTTCAGTACCCAAAGGAGTCTTGGAGTGGCTTACAATCTCCTTTCCCTTCCCCTCCCCACAACAGACACCCTGTAAGGTCGGTGGGGCTGAGAGAGCTCTTGAGAGAACAGCTCTGAGAGAACTGTGACTGACCCAAAGTCACCCAGCTGGCTTCATGTGGAGGAGTGGGGAATCAAACCTGGTTCTCCAAATCAGAGTCCACCGCTCTTAACCACTACATCAGACTGGCTCCAGGGGTGCCAGGGCTCCAGTTCCTGAACACTTGCTTCCATATAAACAACTCCCTGCAAGTAGTCAGCAAGTAGTGTAACCCTTTCCCTGGTGTCCTAGTTTTCTGCATGCGGGGAGCGTTTGAAATTGAGATGTAGAAACTCCCCATAAACACCCAGTACAACTGAGAATCCTCACTCTTCGTAAGCCATTATGAGGTCGTGCTGGATTTTATTGAACATCTTTTAACGTTTTTGTTTCTATTTATTTTTATTTTGCAAGCCGCCTTGGGTGGGTTCCAGCAGAGGAGGCTTAAGAATTTTCCAAATAAGTAAACAGTTAAAATAAATAGCAGAGTGTCAGTCTAGGGTGGCCGGGAGACGAGGCTTCAAACCCCTACTCTGGAGGGAAGCAGTCGGGGTGACTTTGGATCAGTTGTTCTCGCTCTCTCTCTCGGCCTCCCCTACTTCACAGGGCTGTTGTGAGGATAAAAGGGGAGAAGGAGAGGCGTATTCGGAGCCCCTTGGCGGAAGGGAGGGATAAAAAAAATACTAGTTGGACAGACAGTGCATAGAACAGCTCTCAGTGTCGAAGGGCTGAATTCTGATTCTGAGGCTTCCGATGACAGTGGGTTGTATCCAACGCTCCCTCTAAGCTGTGGATTCCTGTGAGCAAAAAGTCTACTTTGTGAGCGGCTGGCATTAAAGTTGCAAGTGAGCGCCTTGGCTCCTGCATGAATCAGTTTGCTCTGGAGCCATCCTTTTCTGAGCTGGAGGCTAAAACCATGTGAGCTGGCTCACACTAACTCAGCTTAGAGGGAACACTGGTTGTATCCTCCTTGTCGTAGCAGAACGGGTTATTGCTAGGGATCCCATCAGCCAGGTTTGCTTGGATCATCATCCAGCAGGCCCGTAGCCAAGATTTTGTGGCTTGTGGGGCAATTTTTTTTTTCTGGCGGGGCTGAAGTTCTCAGTGCAGAAAGAAAAGCCAGAGTCCCGAGGGTTATGACTCAGCTACTGTGGAATCAAGCCTTTTCAAATCAAAAGCATAGAGGCTCCTGCAAATCTTAGCCCCAGAGTGTGACAATAGCAGGCTGAGAAGGGGTGGGGAGGGAGGGTGAATGAATTTTCTGGTAGATGGTAGGCATGGCACTGGAAATACTTACCTGGGTTTGGCGAGTAAACTCATTCCAATTTGTATGAAAACACACTGAACTTTATTGACAAAAACAAAGGACAAACAACACATAGGGGAAAGAATGTATACAGTTCAGCAAGGAATGGAAACCATAGCAAAAAACATAGCTGGCTATTCTGCTCACTACTTTCCCTATCAGGCGCAT